CTGAGACCTAGGGTGAAGGTTTTAGCAATTCTCTTGGCGTTATTGGCGCAACTTACAACCCAAATCATACCACTTTTAAGCAAGGGCACACCAACAACTCAGGAATCTATTCAGCCTGTAAGGAAGGAAAAAAAAAAAGGAAAAAAAAGGAAAACCAACATTTCATGAGATGTCTTTTCTTCACTATTTTATGGTGGGCCAAAAGTGAAGCATCATACCGGTAATTTTTTGCAGACGGTTTCGCTTTTTCAATTGGTATATTTCCGGCCGATGGCGCGGGAAAGGTTTGTTGCCAAGTGCATGGTATTTGATAGGCTACGCTACTCTTACAAGTAAGCCTTTGATGCAGTACCGTTACAAGTAACGATTGACCCCTGTTATCATTCATTTAAGTGGATGTTTGGCGCAGTTCTTGACAGCCGCCACTTTCACAGCACAACGACGCTAGTTGATGGACCAATCATAGCCTTTGAAACTATAGATTATATAAGTGGGATTAGGCTCTGATTAGTCCACTTTACAAGCTTTCCTTATCATGCCAGCGATCGTTCGTAACGACCGTAAAGCTTGTGCCAAACAGCCCCTAAATCTTCACATTTTTCTGCCTGGTACCAACGGTCTTCTTCATTCCTAACTACTCCCCTACCAGTCTCCTAATCAGCTTTAGGGCTTTCCCGAAAAACCACGTCGGTGGCTTGTCTACATGAGCCACCAGAGGAACATCTATGGAGGAAAAGTTGATTTCCCGGTTTGAAATTCCCGTGTTTGTGGAAAGGGAAGCTTCCCTGTTTCAAGAATGGCTTTTATGGCATGTTTGCTGGCACCACCTACAAGAGACCTTTTCACCAATGTATTACATATCCGCAGTTGGAGGACTTTCCCTCTCAAAGTTTGTATTTTTTTTTTTTTTTTGCCTTCCTCTCCACACGCCTTGTGTGGAGTGCGCAATGGATTATAGATTAAATTCGCTCATCCGGGAAAGCCCAGCCTAAACGTTTGGTATTGGCGCAGTTTTTCGTCTGAAATCCCGTCACCTTCGGTAACCATTGATCAGAAGGGCATTTCTGATACAGTGCTTCATGACCTGAGCTTTCAAGGTCGGGCAGATATCAGTACCCTGCTTTCTCACCTGAACAGAAAAAGTACTAACTTCGAACCGAGCTAAGGTATACCGACCCCAGCCGACATGACGAACA